ATTCATACTCTATTACCAAATTGAAACACATGATGCATCTTCATCACGCCATTCAATTGAAGCACAACCTATAACTAAACATGACATGAGAAAAGATCACACAATTTCAAAGAAGTTTTGAAACTTCACATTATTCAAATCTTTTTTGCCCACATGGTTCAAGATTAATTTCCCTTTGGAAAGGATAAAAGTGATAACAGTGCCAATTCCACCAATTCCAAATTAGGACCAGCCAAGATTGCATTGGAATTAACCACAAAATCAGGCTAAATCCTCTTATTTTGAAAATTTGATTTAAGATGCACAAGAAAAAAAATTGAAAGAATTGACATTGAACCAACACACAACATGTCTGAAAAGTTAAAATGAAAGTCGTCAAACTATGAGTAAATGGTTCTCTCAAAAATACCTCTAGGGACCACAAATTTTCCCATCTGTATTTTCTTCCATTTTCTTCTTAAAACCAAACAAAAGAAAAGAAACTGACTTCATCTGTCTTTGTGACCTATTTTCCTGTTTCTACTTTCCCTTCTCTTCCTGTCTTTTCCCTGGATACCAAACACGAGTAACCTTTTTTTTGCCCTAGCTGATAGTAGACAGGCAAGCTATATTCTTCTCGTTCAAGTGATTTTATAAACTAAAAGAGAAGAGAACCAACAGAAAAATAAAAGAAAAAAAGGCAGTTTGGTGAAGCAGATTTCTCCTTTCTCATCTTATCCGTCATAGTCTGTTTCCTTCTCCCTCTTTCTTCCAGACTTGCTATGTGAATCTAGATGGTCAGCATGCATACAGACTACAAGAACACTAGGACCCAAGGCATCCCTCCATAAAATCCTTGGAACATATTTAAATGAAGACAAAGGGAACTGAAAAAGCAGGCATGCAGCAGTCATTGATCTAAAACTCAAAAAATACAAACAAATCTTCACTTTACAGGCAAAGCTGACCAGTAGAAACCTACTTACTGCCCATATAACACAGTTCTATTTCAGAGGTAGAGGTTAGGTAGTTGTCGCAACAAATAAACAAGTCCAAGTAAAGAGCTCAAATATACAAAAGAAAGTTATCTTTACAATTTCCAGAGCTTAAACAAAGAGAAAACAATAGGAAAAGTTAAGCTTTGTATACCTTTACTAACACTACGTCCAAGGTTGTTGTTCACGCGTAAAGGATCAATAACATTAAAATGTTTGGAAACAAATGGCTGTCCATTATTTTCATGGCCACCAGGGAAAACAGCATACACAGAGCTACAAGCATCAAGAAAAAATTTGCTAAGGAGCAATTCTCCACTGTCCTTCCGAGGAGCTTCCGCTGTAAAACTTCACAAATAAGCCAATATTTCCAACAGCTGTAACACATTGAATAAAAAGTTCTCAAAAATTTATTACCAGTTACATCAGGTAGGGAACTAATGGGCACAGGTCCCCATAAGCTAACACAAAAATTGTCCCAGTCAAAGTTGCTGAAAAACTCCAGAAAACGGTAGAGGACCTGCGAGTGTAAATAAAATACTTCAGAAGGACAACCTAACAATCAAATTTTCTTGGCATACATAGTAACTAAAACTACCTCAAGTGGTCCATGAAAGGAATTGTTGTAAACGTGAAAGATGTAAAGAACTAAGGTCTCCAAAGCATAAGTAGAAATAAGTCCATGATGAGCCCCCAATATACGGCTTTCATAATAACACCATGCCTTAATCAATATAATGCTGCGCTTGAACAGATGATTTTGATTTATCAGATTATCAACCTACAGAAGAATATGTTGTGCAGTTAAACTCATTTGTTCGTCAAATCTCATAAATACGATGAGAGCTTGGATTCAAACGTTACAAATTTGAGAATAAATACTAACCTCATCGAGGAAGCACAGCGTACATAAACCACCAACCTGATTAAAGGATATGTCTACCACAATATTTTCCACTAGACATTTAATTATCTTCACCTGCAATAGTAACAAAGTAAGAAGCCAAATAAAAAAAAAAATCATGTAGCAGTAGAAGAAAAGAAAGGAAAACTAATTTTCTCAGTGAATGCATGACAAGAAATCTAAAAAACTTTTTGACAGGAGATTGGCAACTCTGGGTGTAAGAATACAGCAACTTAGAAAATATAAAATGGATCCGAACCATCACAGTGAAAAACTAAAAGTTTAGACCTCGAGGTACTTCTCTAATACAGTGAAGCACATTTTTGTCATGGTCCTGGTATCCTACAACATGCAATCCTTGATGAAGCAGAGTTCTCCCATTCGTCACCCTCACTAGCATTATTATGGGGTGTTAGTTTCCCATTTTTGTAAGAATGAAAATGAAAAATATAGCCGTTATAAACCCCACACAAAAGATAGAAATTCAAATTTTGTGACTTAATGTGATGGATAACAATCATATTTTTCATTTTATTGGGGGAAAAATGAGAAATAAATAGGGGCTATATAAGAGATGGCAAGCCCAAGTCAAAATAGTTGGTCAAAACATCTATACCACAGACAAAAGTTAGACATTCAAAGTTGGGAATGAATAGCATATATTAGTTTCACTGGTTACATCCATAAATCGATTCAATATAAACGGGAATGAATAACATATATTAGTTTCACCGGGCACGTCAATAAATTGATTCAGTACAATTCTCCAGCAAAGCACAAACATGTGCACAATGAGGTGTTTCTCAGGTTCTGCGTGAGAGGCTGCACACAACAATTCTGTATAATTCTTCACTGTTGACCATGGTGCATAACCGTATTGCAGTGCTTTTGTGAACACAACTATGTTCATCCTAGAAAACAGTGAGCATTTGATATAGGGATTGCTGGTGTCCAATCGGTTTTCTTCGACTAAGTGACTCCATATTGTATGGTAATAGCAACCATCAGAAAATCATTCCAAGTGGGACTAATGCATAACTCAAGACTTTTGATAAATGTATACATGTAAAATGCATCAAAACAACTACCACTCATTCAAAGATACATGTAAAGCAAAGTACATAGTTATATGCTCAAGATCTTCAAGATGGATTGACAACACAATCAACACATTAGAAGTAAAAAATTTAGGATGTGGAAGGAATACTTCAGCTTGAATATACTGGACTTCCTTCACGTGAAATTCAGCATTCTCATTCTTCTCCTCATTCTCCAGCATATCACGAACTCGACTGGCCCATGTATCTTTCAAATTAAGATCATGACTGAAAGCAGTCAAATCAATGTCTCCATCGGGTAGATAAGTCTTCAAGGGTACAGAACCAAACGTACAAACCTGTGAAAAAATATAATGGGTAAAATAATATGAGCAACAAGGAAACAACAAGAGGAATCAACAAACAAATAAAACATAGATTCAAAATAAATAACAATTCCAACTAATCACACTAGGAGACACAGATCGGTTACAACAAAGTTTCACTGTACATAAAACTACCAACTTCTCTGTTTGAAAACAATGGTAGCATACGTTCCCCATCTCAACAACAGCTATTCTACCGACTCATAATGTGAGTTACAATATTTTCATCCATTCATTAAAGTAACTGAAGCAACAACTGCTTCTACTAACAAAAAATTCATCACATCTTCATGGGGCATCTTCTAGTAAGTTGATTTTCAAAATTACTAAGTTTTCCAAAAAACCTTACTGTGAACGCCAGGAAGGAAAATGGCCTTCTTCTTAGTTTTTTTTGTCAAATTACTCTTCATCTGTGATCTGACTTAAACACCATCAAATTGTCAGTGTTATCCCTATTAAAGAACCCTTCCATCAGAGAGGCGGAACAATTCGAACTTCAACTTGACCAACTCGAATGTTTTCTTCATATTCTTTCAATTTCCTCTCGTGCCTTGTTAATGTTATACATCCCAAAAAACATAGTATAACTCTATAAATCCCATTCTTACTTTCACTCCCTTCCAAAATCGCGCAGCCCATATACATGAACAAGCATTTTAGGCACTAATTTCAAAAGTAAATAAGGAGAAATTCTTCATCTTCAAACATTAAGCAATTTTGGATTATAGAAATTTTACTAGAGAAATGTCACTAAAAAGAAATTTTATTTGAAAGTTGGATTTCTCTTTCTTATTATTTTGGTCTTTCTTAAGATGTTTCCTCTATTTATATCATCACTTTCTTGCACTAACTCTCACCACCAAACCACCAAAAACAAAGATTTACCAGATATACCCGGCAATTGTACTAGAACTTTAGGCTATAAAAATGGAAACCATAAATATCAAAGAACTGATTCAATGCTTAAAACAGCTTAATTGGGTATTGAAGCATTTTATAGAGCCTTTGAGGCATAAGCCTCAAGATAGAACAATAAAAGAATTCAAAAGAATATAAATACAAAATTATGCTTGTAATATATCATAAACCCTTTGAAAAAACAATAACAAAACTAATCAACATTAATTTACGTCAGAAAATAGAAAATAATAAGTCAACAAATAAGTAATCATATAACAAAATTATAATCTATTACTAATAGTGGAGATAACACAAAAATTTCTTATAACATACTACTAATATGGGAATCATAAACACCATAATCATCTTCATCATTATAAGTTTCTTTTCATTCTTTGTCATCATCCTCCAATAATAAAGGTGTATTTTCCTTCCACATAGAACGAAAAAAATGCAAGAACCAGTAAAACATTTTAGGTTATGAAGAAATAACTAAAACTCTAAGGCCAATAATTAAATGTTTGAAAAATGAAAGGCAAGTGGATGAGCACCCTAGCTGCCTTGTGGCTAAGGCATGAGATGTAAGCCTCATTAAGTCGCCTTGGAAGCCTCAGTAAATTGAGGCATAAGCCTAACAAATGGTATTTAAAGTGCTGGTTTTGAGGCGTTTTATGATAGCCTCAAGTATGGCATGATTCGAAAAGTATATCCTCAAAATAGTTTTTTTAAAACGTGACTTCATTTCAAGCATCAAAAAACTAGTTAAAACTTTTGAACGCAATGTCAAAATCAACCTTTAAGAGATAACTTTCAGAATAAATGTTGCATGGACACTTCAAATAGGTAACGTGTTCGTGTCCAGTATCAACGCTCATCGGACACTCTACCATGGTCAATTTTCTTTCTTTATCAAAAATGTTATATATTTTTAACTCAAACTTATTATTAAATAAAAAACAGGTACTCATATTTAAAAGATTTCAATAAGAAAATTTAATAACAAGTGCTACATTAAATTTGTACTATATAAATGAAGAATTTTAAATAATTTAATCAATATGTCGCTGACGCATCGTGTCACTATTTTTTTTATTTTTTTTTTGTCGAACACACGTGTTCATCTTGTTACATCATTGCAAAATACAAATATAATCATGGTCTCATAGTATAGGATTATTACAGACATAAAAGAAATCTTACCATAGTGTCCTCTTCTTCATATGCTGAATTCAAACAATAATCCAATTAAAGCAAATTTATAGGCATCATGTTTCTACTTCCTACGTCCGCAAATGCCAATATACATTATTGCCACTTATAAACCTGTCATACCAAATTATGGTACAACATGCCTTGCAGAATAAGTAAACGACAGATAACATATTTGCAGTCACCTGACAGGGAAAGCATTTCATGATGAGCCGCTGCACGTAATCAGCAACAGCATTCCTGCGATCCTCAGATAGCGGATTGGGTTGAATACAGGTAATGAGCTCTGCCGTCCTGTCCTCCGCTTTCAACCATCTGTCAGTTTCAAGCGCCCGCATCACCTGGCCTGCTCCTGGCAACAGCCCATTTGGTAGTGGCCCGCTAGGGTCCATCCATCCCCCTTGCTCCCCCATACTCTGAAACCTTATCTAACACCCCGAGAGTTTATGGTGGATGACTAGATACTGTTTGCAATCCGAAACTAAAACCCAATTTTTCTTCACAACAGCCCACAATATGTTTCTACAGAAATAAATTGCAAAGAAATGGAAATATTGGGCGAAATGTTGTATATTGGTCCCCCAGGAAAAAACAGCAGAGGCGTCAATTCTATTACAAAGATGTCCTGATACAACTGAGATACTAATAACAGTAATTTAGCTCTAACTATTAGAATTGATATCGATAAAAATCAAGTAAAGGTCAAAAAACCTTTCCTTTTTCGGGGCAAGAAAATTTAAAAAAGAAAAAAGTAAAAAGCGATCCATCACAAAAATAGTTAATCAGAATTTCAAAGTTCATGAAAAACAAAACCCTAAGCAATGAGATTCAGAAATTAGTGCAATGTCGACGAATTCAAATAAACTCCAAAAAAAAAGAGAGACACAAAAATGAAGTTAAAATTGAATAGCCCTCCGTATTTTTCTGCCCTTATCTCTTCAACTCGCAATTCTATTTCTTTGTATATAAACTGGAAGGATCGTGCAATTGTACAGACAAAAAGAAAAAGGGGTGCTTTTTTTTTCTAGTTTATTTGTTCTTCTTTCTGGTTTAGAAATAGAATTTGGGAACAGAGTCTCCGAGCGTGCGTCCGTGCGTGTATTTTGAGAACAAAATTAATTTGACCTTTAAGGATCTGATTTGAATTGATTTCAGTGTTGTGTTTTGGGGAAATAGGAGAGTGAATTATTCCAATGGTAATTGAAATTAGGGTCATGTCTTCAACTGCGAAGTTTAAAATGTAGAATTTTGATCACTGAACTTTGAAAATTTTTTATTGTTCACTAAAATTTAAAATGTCGAGTTTTAGGTACTTTGAAAAATATTGTATATTCATCACTGAACTTTGAAAAATATTATATATTACTCACTGAACTTTGAAAAATGCTTTACGTGACTCATAGTAAATTCGATATTTTTCAAAATTCAACAATTATGCTAATGAGTAACGTACGGCATATTCTAAAATTTAGTGATCAAAATTCGACATTTTAAATTTCAGTGTACAATTTAAGACATAGACCTCAGTTCCATGAGAAATCGAAAACATTGACTTAAGTTCAATGACCAAAACTCGACATTTTAAATTTCAGTGACCAATCAAGATATGGACCTAAGTTCAATGACCATAAGAACAATTAACTTGAAATAGGAAATGGGGAAATAGGGCGGGTAGATTAGGGTGGAAAGATAATGCTTGCTTGATGAGGAAATGTGGAGATTAAGCCCTGGCACTCATTAATTTTCATTTTATTATATTTTGTTTTTTTCTCTTATATTTTCAAAAACATAATCTTTCATAAAATAATATTAGACATAAATCCAAAACTTTTCTTTCTTTTTCAACCACTCATTTTTCAAAAAATACTATTCCACCATTTTCCATTTCCACAAAATGGGGGTCAAATGGTGGCTAAATTTTTTCTAAAAAGAATAATTGATTGTGACTTAATTATCTATAATTTTCTACGAACAATGCTACAAGTATAGAAAGTTTTCACAAATTTTTTGACAGATAACACATGATGCATTTTCATCGGGAGATGAGAAAAAAATAGGGCAATACCCTAGGAATTCTCTAATCTTCTACATCTACAATATATTAAAAGGAAGGATTGATGAAAAACTTTTGAATCCTTAGTGTGCGTTTGAGTCACATTATTTTGAAAGAATGTATTTTGGAATAATAGATTGATGGAAAATATGTGATTAAAAAGGAAAAATTTTGAATTTGTTGTAATATTATTTTATTAAAAAATATGATATTGAAATGATATCAAATCACTGTTTAAAAAATATATTTTTTCCAAATAATGCTGCTCAATCGAGACGTTAATATACCATTACATATTTAGTTATATGCCTAATATACCTTTTATTTAATTTTAGTTTTGTTAATAATTAATAAATAACATTAATTCCTTACAATATTTAGCTGTATGCTCAATATACCTTTATTTAATTTTAGTTTTGTTAATAACTAATTAATATAGCATTAATTCAATTTATTCAATGTGAAATTAAAAAAAAATTATTTTCTTTTCCATTTGTCAATAATTTCCTAAATTAATCTTTCTAATATTGTATTAATTTTTATTAACAGCTTTTATGATATAAATATAATTTAAATTTCTTCCCTCGATTGAATTAGTTAGTGTAAAAAAAATAACATTCATATTCCCTTATTTAAATGGTTGTTGTACACATATCGTAACAACCAAATAATACATTTAAAATAAAATTAATGAACACAAGATGTTACTATATAATTTGATAAAATTTTATTTTATATTATATTTATCATTACTTAAAAGCTGCTTTAATTGGTAGTTACATACGAATCTCTGTAATATCTAAGTTTAGATAAAAATGGAACACGAAATGATAGGGTAATAATATTCCCTCTAAAATTTCTATTAACTACACAACATTACAACTGCAATAAACATTAAAAATTTTGCTCATTTTCACACTTAAGTCGTCGATTATTTTTCCCTATATTCATATCATTATATGAAACTAAATAAATTGTTATAACGTTATAATATGTGTTGAAATTCTAAACCACTTCCAAACAATATTAATAGATTAAAAAATTCAATATACGGAGAGAACATGTGATGAAAAAAGACGGTTTTGAATATCTTGCCAATTGAGAGCATATGAAAGGAGTGGAGATATGACTATTTTTATAATTAATAATTAATGCAAATAAATGAAATGGGAGATGTAGAGCTACTTTGTGTTAGTAGATACCTTATGTAATAAACATAATTAAAAACTTTATAACTATAAAAGCCAACATTTCTCAGTCTAGCACTATTGTCAATGAAAACAATTTGTTGTGAGATAAAGGAAGAATTGTTGTCAATGAAAGAAATTTATTGTAGGTTAGAGCTTCACAAAACTCTAAAATAGCTTAGATGGTGCTTATATATGTGAATATATTCATGTTGGGCATTGGAATTCTGAAGAAGTTGATTTGTGCGAAATAAATTCTAAAAAAAAAATTTGTTTGAGGAATTTTTTATTTTGTTAAAAAGATAATGTAGTTATTTTTTCTCTATATGTTTGTTTTTTTAATTCTACTAGTAATGTCCATCTACATGATGAATATAAGCTATTTGTAAGTTGATGAATGTTGTGCATTTATTTTTTTATTTTTCTTTTATGATTAGTTAATTTTGGTTCGCATTCCATTTTAATTTCTGGTATCATAGATTTAATTGTGTGAAATCTCTATTTTACATTTTATCTATGATCATGAATTATTTTATTAATATATGTACACACACACACATCTGTTTTGGACGTCTTAAGCACGTGACAACTCGACAATATTATTGTTTTATCATATTCATTCAATTATGTATTATTTTTTTACTCATATTTATGGGCCCATCTTCGGCTGGATGCCTAGATGTTAGACTTTGGCATTTAGAATTTTGTTGAAACGTGAAAGCAGCCACTTTGTATTAGTCTTTGACAAATTTTATATTAAATAAAATCATTTGAGATTTTCTTTCTTGTTTTTTCAGGCATCGAACAAATTTTGAAGAGTTAATTATAATTAGCTTATGTCGCCGCATCATATTGGTATCTAAGCATAATCACATTTTTGATAAAGACATGTGCTGCATGATATTATATTTATATAATATATTCTATATTTGCTATATAGTTTTTTTAACATTGATAAAAAATTATTAAATTAACATATCGATGACTTTTTTATTTTGTATGCTATAAACATCGGAGACAAATACATCATGGTTGAAAATACTAATAGAAACAAATTATGATTCATTAATTGATCAACAAAACAAGTCAGGTCGTCAAAAAATATTATTTTTTTCCGTTTTATTAATTGTCAATGCGTATTTTTGTTGTCATATATTGAATTTATATTCACATTTGTGGGATTGATGTCAAAAACATATATATCTTTATAAGACAATTGAATGCATTTGAAAAAGATTGGATTATAAAAGTATCAATTATTCGAAAAAGTTCCATTGAGATCTACAACAATAAGAACGATCATGCTAAACTTTTTAAACTATTTTTGTGTGATGGAAAAGTATTTTATAATGTCGAGATTATTCGATACTTTTTTTATATATAAAAGTTTCATTATTAGACTAATATGTTGTTTTTTATAATATTTTCAGATAAATAATTTCCAAGCTACATTATTTAAGGACAAAATCAAAAAGTTCTTTCCCATGCTTGAGAAAGGAAGAACATACTGACTTCGAAATGAAAAATAAGAGCAATCAACCCTTATCAATACTATAACATTATATATAAACTTTTATTCATATGCATGTATTTCTTACATTTTTCATTTTTCTTTTATTAATAGTAGTTACCTCAACTATTTCTAAAAAATAGTATTAGTACTTCAAAAATATTATGCATATCATTCATTCGGTACATAATACATACAGCACACATGATTACTACTAATATAATAAATATTACATCAATTAAAAATCAATTTTTGACGATTCCAGCCATACTATAATTCAATTATTTCAACAATATGTAGCTTTCGTTTTTCAATATGTATTTAATTTAATTAATTATTTAGTTATGATCAATGTACATGTACATTTCACCTACGTGCTTTCATTAATGTATACATATCCTATTATTGATTATTAATTATTAAGGAAAAAATGTCCATCTTCATTTATTATCATTTCTAATTATAAGTTAATTAGAATTTTACATTCAGGATTGCATTCCATTATTCACGTCCATGGATACTAAGTAATATTTAAATTTACTTAACTGGGATTAAAATTACGTCAAGTAATAATCATTTTTCTTTTCAGGATTTTAACTCTGTTACAATTCAATTATTTCAATAATATATTATGTTTTGTTTTTCAATATGTATTTAATTTATTTAACCATTTAGTTACTATCAATACACGTGTATATTTGATAGATTCATCTCTCCTATGTGCTTTTATTAATATATAAATTCACTATTGTTAATTCTTAATTAATTAACATTCACATTCACATTCATATAATTAATATACATCTTCATTTATGCATTCTAGTGTTATTAATTTTAATTATAAGTTAATTAGAAATTCAAATTCAAAATGCATACCATTATTTACGTTCACGTATGCTAATTAACATTCAGTTTTACTTGATTGAAAATTAAATAAATATTTTATCATTCATTGTCACATGTATATTACCTGATATTAAATTATTAATTCTAAATTAATTAATATTCATACATATTCAAATATTTATTTTACAATACTCATAAAACATCACGTTCAACGTTGACTAGTTTGGAATAAAATTCAAGAACATTTATTGAGTGGACAATTAGTTATACAGTCTACCAAAATCCACCCAAACTTTCTTAAATTGAAATTTGATGTTAATATATTACATTGACTGTAATTTATTTATTTTTTTTTGTCCAGAATAATATTGGTGTTTCGCGCGGGTTAGTCGCTAACAATTAAAAGGGATCAAACGATTGTGTATGGGACAAACATCTTGAGACAAAGTCCCAAAAAGGGGTGTTCTTTTATTGGCGATGACTTTACAATTGGAAATTAAAAACAAAGTGCCTCTAAGGGGCACAAGCACACGAGTTACTGAAAAAAG